CCATAAAAATCAGCAGTCCCTTGGTGAAAATATTTTCAATCTTTCAGGGGGACATTGTGAAGATGTTTTATTAATAATTTTAATTTTGTTTTCTGCTCTGCTCAGTGGTTCCTTTCTAAAAACTTGAGCATCTTAGATTTTGTAACAAATGAATGTTAATAAAGTGTACTTTCTGGTCCAAATTGGCTCCAGTTTATCAAAATACTGAATCACATATGAAAAACTGAGAATTTAAACCATCTTTTCTTATTTAGAAAAGAATGACATTTTAGTCACACATTAGTAACACTTTGGTATGCAAGTATCAAGTACAAACTGAAGTGTATTTGTAAGCCACACAGTGAGGTTCTCTCTTTGGCAGGGCACATGTCAGTCAGAAATTAATCCATTACACAGACCTAAATGACTAGAAAGTAAGAATATTCAGTAGCAGAATTGTCCTTCTTCTTGCAGAAGACAATCAGTGAAACGCCACAACCCAGGAGCTGCTGTTGTGACCATGGTGTATCGAAGTGTCCCTTGGAAGTCTAAATTGGGATAGAATAATTTTGACACTAACATGGATTAGTAAATGCACTGGCATATTTGTCAAGGGAGATGTAGAAAGGATTAATTATTTAAATCTGACCTAAATTTCCCATGTTTCTCTCTTGTTCCATAATAATAGCAACAATAAATTCCAAAGTAATACCTTGCTATTTGAACTAAACCTGGAGTTAATTGTCACCCACACCAGACAAGAAGTAGATTTTCTTTACTCTTCATTCCATCTGGGGTATGTCAGTTGGAGCATAATGTTGCCCATTGAAACCATAGTTCATTAAGTCATATTGGGATATAAAGAACATATTTGGTCCCACGTGGGACCATCAGTGTGGATGACAGTTTCTCTCCTGTATCTGCTCATCCTTAAAAGAGAAATAAGTTGAAATCATTTTCAGGTTGTCCCTTTTAAACCCACATGTATTAGAAATTAGACGTGTGTGTGTGTGCATAGAAGCACCTGCAACAGAGACTGAGAAAAACTCACTGTAATACAGTCTGCAGCAAAAAAATGTTTATGTGGAGACTAATAAAAAATAATTTTGGCAGTGAAGAAGTCCTGAGTGATGTAGCTTAGTATTTGTCACTTATGCGGTAAAGTCACAAGTAGAGTATCTAAGACAGTCATATCTAAAAGCCAGAAGGGAAAAAAAACCTCTTCCTTAGTTCATATGGCATGGGATCTCTGCCTGGATGCAGAGTCATGATAGCTTGCATTGTGGCAGGGTGGAGAGTATGGCTTCCTAATCAAGGCCACCGAATTTTTAATGAATAGCACTTGATTACTGCTCCCATTGTAGGAAAAGGTTGTTTGGAGGTGAACAAGACTGTATTCCACTCCCACCCTTCTTCAGTCCCAAAACCAGATGAGCTGGAGCTGTGTCCGGTACAATTGCTCACAGCTGGGGAAGGTCTTCCCGAGAAATAGGCACGGTAGCTCCATGAACTGACTGCTGCATCCTTATCTCAGCCTGCAAGACTCACAGCCAGTAGTGACTGAAACCCTGTGAACAGTTTTACTGCACCATTTCATCACATCTCTTGCATTATGAAGTCCCTCAGATAATATAAGGCCTGCTGTTGCAAGATTTTGCATTTCTAGACAGGATTGCAGGGCTGCTGGGATGGTTTGGCATTCAAATCCAAGCCTTATCCCTCTAAATCCTATGTCAAGTTTTCTAGGACATCCCCTTTATAAAGAATGGATTTGGGGTAAAATCAGTCTTGCTGCAGTCTCAAGGGCATAAGTCTCAAGTTACTTTGGGCTTAGCAGGACCAGAAATTCAAATATAGGATCTTTCTAGAGAGGGGATCAAAACTGAGTGAGAAAGTTGAGTTCTGGTATTTGAGATTGTCATAAGAGCTACAGGCTTCCAGAAATGTCAAATTCCTGACACTGACTGTGGGTCAGAACTTTCCATTAAGCTTCTCATCTGGAAGCAAATCTGCCTGAAGATCAGATGACAGACACCAGAAAGCAACGCTTGTTTACGTATTCAGAGTTTAAAATAAGAAATTTGCAATCATGTTTATGTTTTTAAAAAAAAGGTTTCTACAAGTTTTTTGTGAAGAGGAAGAACTGTTTGCTTTTATAAAGTAGTAAGCAGACTGTTCTCCAGTATTCGTAGCCTATTTGGGAAGTACTTTCCAGCATTTGTGGGCAAAGCTGTTTAAAAACAGTTCTCTACAAAAATAAAGTTGTAAGGCTATAAAGCATTTTTTATCTTGGCAGACCAAAATAATTTTTCCCCAGTATTTCAGGAAGCCTCTGACATTCTCAAAAGTTCATTAGCTTGACTGTTTGGAGAGGAGCTTTCTTTCTGTCTTTAATCTTCTACTAATATTGCAATTTACTTTTGTTTATATCAATACAGGGCTATTTTTTATCACTTCATGTTTAGATGCTTGACATTTCAACTAGGTGCTGCTTTGAACAAAACAGTAAGGGATTTTGTTGTTTTAAAAAGAACAGCTTCAGTGTTAAATTGGATTCCACACAGTGAGATTTATAATCTAATTCTTACAAGAGATTCAGAGGTTGATATCAAGAGCTGGACCACTTCATTGTCCACATGTAGTGTGTTGTAAAATCAGAAGTTCTAAATTCTTTTTTTTAAACTCTATTTTTTCCAATCTCAAAGAGTTAAAATATATTCTTTTTCTCTTGCTGTTGATTAGCAAAAATTTCCTCACCCTCTGCTGTCGAAGAGTCATACATATTTGATAGCTTTATCCTTTTCTCCTTTATATTTCAAGTAATTCAGCTAGACTATCTTCATCAATGGGGTAAGTGGAGCTGTAACACCTACTTAAGGGAGGGGAGCCATCTGGTTTCCTTGCAACTTGGAGCCTGCTGGCAAATATTAGGTTATACCAATTTAGAGCATGATGAAGTGGGAAATAATGGACATTTCTGAAGAATCTGAAATAGGATCAGCTGTTATCAGCAAAAATTGGCAGGTGCAGTGCACTACACTGGCTGTAAGCGTGGTCTCAAGTTGGAGAGTGCAGCTGGGAAAATGACTTGCTAATTGAATGGTTGCAGGACTCCCAGCAGCTCTGAAAGTAGTGGAGCATCATTAATTGGAGGCTCTTGGTTGACTTAGTGGAAGCTGTCAGAGAAAGGATCCTGCAAGTTGAGGTTTACTTTCTAGGTGTTTTAGTGTGGTTTTTGCCTGTTACACTGAATGAGTCCTCGTGGAGTCAGAAGTGCTTTCAAACTCAGGAGGACTGGTCTAAGGCTAGCACCATTTATTCTTTTACTTACAGCATGGTGACAGTGGTTGGGAGTTATAAAAGCTATGCAATTACACATTTGTTTAACTGCACATTTCTGTTGTTATCTTTCCCTTCTCTCTCTCTTTCCCTTTTATTTTGTCTTAGGTTTCAAAATTGGCTTGGCTTGGAGCAAAATTATTCTTTTTTTTTTCTTTTTCTTTAGATCCTTTCTTTAAAAGACTTTGTCTGCAACTGTTTCTTGGATGCTGACATAATTCATAAAAGTAGTTATAGAAAAAAGTGGCCTAGTTTTGGTCCAGAATAGTATTACATACACTTCTGACTTGTGTGAGTCTCAGAATATCAGTGAATACAAAAGCACGTGTCATTAGCTGTGGCTCCCTTTTTCATAAGCTGTTTTTATTTATTAAATGCAAACATATTGCAATGCATCCTAGTTTAATATAAAGGCCTGTTGGCAAAATGTGGTATTTTCCATCAGCTGTTAATGTACCTTGAGGGAAGATGTATTGGCAGTGAGTGCTGTGCAGCAAGCACTGCTGACTTCAGAGTGCACTTCATGTGTCATTAGTGACAGTAGCATCTCTGTGCCCCTAAAATTTCTCCAGCCGTGTACAGTGTAGCTTTCCTGGATGAGTTATGAAGGTTGGGAGGTAAGAGACTTCAGTGACAGGGTTGTGCTACCCAGCACGCCTCTGGCCTGCATGGACACAAGGTTATCTGTGAGTGTGGATTGGATGAGGAACAATGGGGTGAAAGCTGGCCTGAGCCTCCTAGTGCAGTGTTCATGGGGTGTAGGTCAAGTGTTAAACCCTTCAAGAGAACTGATGAGATCACTTTTTCAAGCTGGACCCTAAGCAAGTCTTCTTCTCAGTGACCAGCAAGCTCTTCCAAAGTTTAGGTGATTAGGGAAAATGCCTTCAGTTTGCATCTGCATTTGGATAACCTGTGTTAGGTGGGAGGCAGGGAGATGAAACTGGGAAGATATGGAAGCTGTACCCTTGGATCAAAACCACATGTGGCAAATGTCAAGCACAGGCCTGTGATGGAACTGAGAATAGCAAAACATTGATGATGAAAAGCTCCTGCCTCCTTCCCCAGTCTCTGACTCAGCAGGCTGGGACAAGCTGTTCTTGGGAATGCCAAATATGCCATGTTTTTAAATGTTGTAGCTTCATATGGATCAATTTATGGTGCTTGTTTCTAGCTTAACTCTTCTGGATGCTTACTTTGCCTCTTTGGTCTTCCTGGCATTAACAAGTGGATGGAAATAATTCACCTGACCTCATAAATCAAATAAATTCATAGAATCATTTAGATTGGAAAAGATCTCTAAGGCCGTCCAGTCCAACTGTTAATTCAGCACTGCCAAGCCTGCCCCTAAACCATAGCCTTGAAGTACCATGTCTTTTAAGTCTTTGAAATACCTCCAGGGACAGTGGTTCCAGAGCAGCCTGTTCCAGTGCTTGACAACCCTTTCAGTGAATACATTTTTCCTAATATCTTAAACCTATTCTAAACCTCCCCTGGCACAGCATGAGGCCATTTCCTCTTGTCCTGTTAGTCGTTACCAGGGAGAAGAGGCCAACCCTCACCATGCTACAACCTCCTTTCAGGTGCTCGTAGAGAGATAAGGTCCCCCTGAGCCTCCTTTTCTGCAGTGCAAGGAACCTTATCTACAACTCCTTTTTTATCTTTCCCTTTTCGTCCCCACACAGCTGAATGAATCTGCCAAGCAGCTGATGGAGATGGACAAGACGTGCTCGGCTGCCGCCTCCGGCTGTGACATGCCCCTGGCCACCGAGACGGTGGCGGTGGCGGCGGCGGCGGCCGTGGGCCTGGCACCGTGCTCCACGCTGGCCGGCGCCGGGGCTGCCGGAGCGGCACAGCGCCAGGTGGAAGGCAAGAAGAACGCCAAGAAGCGCCACTCCTTCACCGCCCTCAGCATGACACACAAGTCTTCCCAGGCTGCCAGCAACCGGCACTCCATGGAGATCAGTGCCCCGGTCCTCATCAGCTCCAGTGACCCGCGGGCAGCTGCCAGGATCGGGGACCTGACCCACCTCTCCTCCAGTGCCCCGGCCCAGGTAAGGTGGAGTGCAGGGGGGTGTGGGCATCCTTAGCAGGTGGCACGCCCTTGTGTCACTTCTTCCAAAATGGATCACCCACCCATGAAGCAGTGACATGGGTGCCGTCATCCTGGTGTGACAGTACTTGGCATCTGCCATTCCTGCCCTTACATTAATCAGTAGGCAGGTGTGAGAAGCCAGAGGATAAGGCCAAATTGGAATCACAATACTGCAACGCTTTAAAAAACAAAAAGTAATCCTACAATTTGTTAGAAGTAATGCAACTGTTGCACCAGTTGCTGTTGTAGAAAGGAATAATTTTGAGTGATCCCATTACCCTGAATATATCTGTTACTCTGCAGGATAGCAATGTCAGTATGAAATTCACACACTAGGGATAAAAAAAGATTTTTGGAATAATTATTTCTGTACAGATCACTGGAGGATGAACAAATGTGCTGTACTTTGACAAGTGTTGTACCCAGCAAGTAGCTGCCGCTCAGAAAAACCCAAGGAGTTTTTAAACCATCACACATGCTGAGAGTGCAGCTCTCTCCATCCTTCCCCCTCTCAAAGGAGGATGCAGAAGAGCATCCTCCCAGACATCCCCACAGAAGCAAAAGGAGCTTCCAAGAGGCTGCTTCTGGAGCCCTGGCAGAAACAGGAGCCAGAGTCACCAGGGGTGCACTGAAACCCTTTGCAATTGCCTGCTGTTGCTATCGATAAGGAAATCCAGCTGGTAATTTGCAGTTTGAAGGTGTAAAGAGAAGGGAGAATACTCACAGTCCCAAAGCTCTTCTGCCTCAGCCTTTCTGCCCAGTCATCTACACAAGTGTGTGTGCAGATTAGCACCCATAGGTGGTATATAGACCAGCTCCTTATAGTCTGTGCTGCTTATTAGTGCCAAGATAACCTCAGCATGACAGGGTCTTCCCACACATCATGTCTCTGCTGAAAAAAGCCATCCTTGCCCCTTTTCCTCTCCCTGGACATGCCTTCTGGCCCCTCACATTCATGTCCCCATAGAAGGACAAACATGGATCACTTGCCAATCCTGTGGTGGCCTGGAGCAGGAAGCAATCCATGTTACAGCCACTGCCTATGCTGGTATGCATGGGAGAGGGACAAGCAGCAAACTGTAGGGACTGCTTTGGGTAGAAATCCCTGTTTATGTCCATCTGTAGTGCTGGTGGGTCTCCCCTGGGAGGCCAGTGTGATGTGCCAGACCATGGGGTCACTCCTGATAGCTGTGCCCTGCTGTGACCCATGACATGAGCCCCAGGCCCCTGCAGCACAAGTTTGCAAGGACACTGGGGAGGCAGAGTGCCTGCATGCACACCAGGTGTGATGCAGGGCCAGCCAGAACTGTACTGAGGGACACTGCCACAGTGGAGCAGTACTCTCTGCCCCTGCCTCAGCTGCTCACTTCCCTCCACTGCCCATCTACACGTGGGAGCCAGAGAGGCAGCTCAGTCCAACTGTAATAGCACTCGCTTTCTTCCACATGCCTTTTCCGGGAAGGGTTTCTGTGGTGTAAGGTCTTCCCCCTCTTTCAGCCCCCAGCAGGAGGGTGAAGGTGAGGATATGGCCCCCACACAAAGCAGCATGGGTGTCAAGATGTACTGGGACATCTGTGAAGCAGCACAAGCACTACATGTGAGGGAGGGTCCCAAACTTGTCAAGTAAATGATACCCAGGTTTTTGGCACTGAGAGTGACACATTTGGACTTTACAGAGATGTGATAGACAGTGGCTTTTCTGTTCCTGTGCTAGCCAAGAGAAACACAACACACACCCTTTTTCGTTAGAGTTGTGTTGAAGACTCATTCTGAGGTAGTAAACCACGAAGGTTATACTATGAAACAAAAAGTGATTATTCTCCCGTTTTAACAGAACAATTGGTATGTGAAATCCCACTAATTTCTCAAATAATTTTGTCATTTGCCCAGAAGTGGTAGAGGACAAGAAGAGCCTGATGTTTCCAGTGACAAGTTATGATTATCGAAATCCAGCCCTGGTTCCCTTTGCAGCAGATGGGAAGATATGTAACTGGTGCCATGGCCAAAAGTTCATCTAAGGTGGGGTGTAAGGAAGCCCATGGTGGGAACAGATTTAGGGAGTGCCTCAGGGCATAGAGCCAGTTTGCAGACAAGGCAGCTGAGCACATGCCTCTAACACTGCTGGTCAAAACTGTCATGGCCAAAATCCAGGTGGGGAAGAAGAGTCTTGGTGACTCCGATCAACCTTAGTGAAAAGAGGCTTCCCTCAATCAAAAATGTCATTGCACCCTGCCACCCCAAGTGTGGCATTTGCATGTATTAATAGGTATCTCTGCTTTTGGGAACCTTGCTTTCTAATTTGAGGGATTTAAACATTTTCCTTTGAAAACTTTGCTATGAATGTGGATCGATAGGGGAAAAAAAGTGGGGCTGAAGTTTTTACTATGTTCTCTTGACTATAGGAGCAGCCTTCAGAAAAATGCTTGTAAGATTAACAATAAAATCACAAGAACTACAAACATGAATTCACCTGCTTTTAAGCCTTCCTAGTTAGGTCTACAAAAAATGCAGAATTTTGCTCTTACCAAATGTACATTAAAATTGTGCAGCTATATTTATATAACTATTAATCCCATAATAATAGGGGTTACATTTTAATTAAATGTGTCAGAAATTCAGTTTCTTCTTTGCCATCTGCTTAGACCTGACATGGCTCTGAAGCAATTAATGATGCTTAAGCCTTAGACAGAATATCAGTTCAGCACTTTTCTTTTTATTCACATGGCTGAACGCCAGCCACAGTAGCATAAACAATGGGCCCCATGAGCTCTTACATCAAGGCATTCAGGGCACTGAGAATCTTGTCTTCAGATTTCTTGTTTTAAAATGCATTTGGCATTTCTAAGGTAAATGCCCTGTATGTCTTGTTCAGGGTTTGACATCTTGACAAACCTGCAAACTGATTCTACTGCTGCTTCGGAAGTGCTCAGGGGCGTTGCTGAGAGCATGAGCAGGTTATAGGAAGGCTGTGCATGTAGCTGCCAAACTCACCAGTGAGCTCTGCTGCAGGAAGATGTCTCACCTTTTCTTTCCTTGAAGAGGAACCTCTCTGTCGTGCATGTCATTGTCACCCCTTTGAGTGGTTCTCTTTGTAACCATCTCAGGCCCTTGCTGGTTTGCAACAGCAAATTCAACCAAAGCTTATTTCTTAAAAGGGAAGCAACAAATTTACAGTTTCGTTATCTAGCAAATTTATGCCTTTTTTTAACTAGAATGTAAATTTGGTTTATTGTTTAATTTCCAGGTACTTTTTCATTGCTTATTTAATAGATTTCTTCACAAAAAGAAATAAAGGAATTTTGTTCAGTTTCGTAGGTACAAGTTTCTCTGGAACATATCAGGACTGGTATTTAGCTTGCAGGGGGATTCTACATTTTGCAAAAGTTCAACACAGTTTTCTTATAGCCTGTCCTTTGAACAAGCAGAATTCAATTACAGGAGTTCTTGAATGGCCTCCAGTCCCCCTCCTCAGGGCAACCGGCTGGTGCCCAGTGAAGCAGTCTCCTCAAAACAAGCATCAGTTTTCCCTGGAGACCTGAAGCACCTACATCTGGAGCACCTGCTTCCTCTCTGCTGACATGAAAAGAAACAGAGCCATCTAGGGCTTACTGCCTAAGTTATTGCAGGAACTTAAAATTTAGGTGCAAATTTTACATGTTTCAGTAAATGTAGCATATATTCCACGCCTTAGAAGTTATTTCATGCATAGTGCTTTATTCTTGTGGTTTTTGTCAATTCTTGTGAATTGAAACCAGACTTCTACACTGAGCTGGCATGGTTTTTTTTTTTGTTTTTATGAGTCGTTAGACTATTATAAGCCTTCAGGAGGGCACAGATTTCTACATATTGTGCACTGACATGCAGACCAGACTATGAAATCACATGTTTTGAAAGCAGTTCTGCATATCATTAATTTAATAATATAAGACTGCTGGCCTTCCATAATGTGTTCATTGTTCTTTAAGCAGAACCAACTCAGCTGTTTTCCAAAAGCCACGATGTATTTTGAAATGAATGATGGTCTTAAAAAACATCTCCACTGACTACAAACTTTGGGATCTTTGAAAGGCAGAAGAATCAACTGGAGTCACCTCAGCTGGATAAAATAGTAACTGGAATTCCACAACAGCCAAGATATAAAGCATTTAATTTAAAAGAGGCAATGCTGGAATCCTAATTTTGCACGCAGCTAAATTTGCTTGTACGCTTTTTGCTGCATGCTGAGCATCACTCATTAAATGTAAGATCTCCATCTGAAAGGTAATAGTGTCTGTCCATCATGCAGAATGTCCTATCATACTGGCAAAATGGATTTTTATTGAAGATGTAAGTAGTGCTGGAGGCCTGTGATGGAGCTGAAGCCGAATTAGGTTACGGGTGCAGAGGAGCGGTTCGTAACTGAGATTCCTTGGGGAGTGGGGAAGGTCCCCCTGGAAAGTAATCATGCCTAGGCCTCAGATGGCTTGTCCTGCTTCCATTTTCACCCCTTATGAATTATTCGTCCCTGCTAGTTGAAAAGGTCATGGGTCAGTACTGCTCCAAATCCCCTGGATTTTGACAGAAAAAGCATCTCATGAATAATGAAGCATGGCTTTGTGCACACCAGGGTAACAGCTGAGTGAGGAAGAAAGGATCCTCCCCACAGAAGGAACTTCTGTGTGTGTTTTGAACAACTCATCACCATGCACAAGAAGTCAGTTTGTATCTGCAAGTATTAGCACAAGCTCCTAACCAGAGGACACATGTTCAGGAAAAGCTGAGAACAATGTCTTGCACGTTTCCAATCCCGAAGAGTGACAGTATTTGAAATGAAAAATGTTCCTTGAAGTGTCTTGCTATATAAATCATTTGGGAGTGTGTCCTTATCAGTTATTTAGAAGTGCTGAATTTTAGCTGAGAAAATGTAATAGCAGAACTCTGGTTGAGCCTTGGCTGATAACCTAAATGTGCTGACCATGA